TGCATAATCTTGGCCAGAGGAAAATTTGTACAAGAATATGAAACACAGTCGTATTCTAAAACAGTTGAGAAAAGGATATAAATTTGGCTGTATACTTTCTAAGCCATCTGAAAAAGAGGAGAAATGATATCCAGTTACAGAATTATTCTGAACACAAGATTGAAGCAGATCAGTTCTCTATATGAAATAAAGTCTTTGCTAACCCTGATAGATGTCAGAAAATTCTGTGTCTTTGTAAAAGACTTTGAGTGAACAAAGGATGATGCTATTGTTATTGTATCCCTATAATAAGTACAATAGTACATTTCTCTTTGGCTGTTTATTACAGGGTCCTCCAGTTTAGGTACAACCAAGCCGAAGTACAATTCAGTGAAAAGAATTGAGTAAGCTATGAAAGATAAGGTAGTCAGAGTAAGAAGTTTTCAAACAGAATTACATAATTCAAAAGACAAAACATATATCAAATTGCTTTTCTTGTATATTGAATTATTCTATTAAGGAATGAAATAAGAAAATATAATAATAGAATGCTATACGGAAGAACTTAAATAAAAAGAATAACTTCCTTTATGGCGCTGGGATTATTTACGCTAGGAGGTCTAAGAGGATGATGCCAGCATCTGGTGAGGTCATCACACGTTGGAAGACAGAGGTGGAAGCAAGCATGCAAGACAGAATATCTATGTGGAATTTTTAATAACAACACATTCTAAAGACAACCACGCCAATTCCTGCAATACTGACATTAACCTATTCAGGAGAGCAGAGCCCTTATGACCTGATCACATCTTGTTAAAGCCCACCTCCCAACACTGTTGCATTGGGGATTAAATTTCCAGCATGCGAACTTTGAGGGGACATATAACAGATGTTGTGTATAGGAGGGAGCTAACCATAGGCATCAAGTGCCAAAGACCTACTGTTTTACATTTTTTATGTGTTTTTAAGTTCTATGTGTTACAAATAGTTGCTGACCTATTTTTTTAATGCCAGAAGGTGCATGCATACATACATATCTCTTTCTCTCTCCAGCAAACATATGTGCTCTATAGCAAATTAAAAACAAAATAAAAATTGAAGGGGTGAGTGGTAGACATGAACCTAATGAGTAGTAGCAAATGAATACTATCAACTGGTGCTAAGTCCTACAAAGAACTGGTAAGGAGGATAGAAAGCCAAGGAGCAGAGGTGGGGAGGAGGTGAAGAAAGTGCTATTTCAAATGAGGATAGTCAGATAAGGATTCTTCTCTAAGGTACATCCCAGTAGAGATCTGAAGGAAATAGGGAAGTGTCCAAGGGGAAAATGTTTTTTACACGAGATATGACCATAGTATATGACCCTCAGTTTTAATTCTTTGCTTATATTGAAAGGATGTTCTTGGCCTATATATTTTTAGACTTTTTTTTTTTCCTTTATGTGAAAATTGCCATTGGTGATTATTATCACTTTGCTAATTATTATGAAGTGTTCCCAGGTGGTGGGAGTAAAGTCTGCTAGACTAGAATAAATCTAATTATGTCATTCTAAAAGGTGGTAAGATATGGCACAAAATATCTGGGCTACACACGGAAGGGTGGGTGGGTTTGGCCTCAAAACTGGGCTGAATTAAATAGCAGATGGGATTTCAGGAAATTACAGAGTAAAGATAGCTGGAATTTCATGGCCAAGATTCTGTGTCTCACTAGATTGAATACAGTAATTTAGTTCATTAGATTTTAGATTTTTTAAAATGTAAAATTTCTCTACCCTTGAAAAGTTTATAACTTAGTTGGCTAAAACACACACACACACAAGAGTAAACCGAATATATGACTTCTAAATGAAGTAAATAATATCAGCAGGTAGCTGACGTCGGCTTCATTGGAAATAGTAGTTTCTTGGACATGCTACTGAAGCATCCAGGGTCTGGAAACTTCCTGGTTAGTATTTCTTTCTTATTTGGCTCCAATGTAAAAGCACTGGAGCCTTTATTCTGCAGTCTTAAATTTTTTTATTACTTGGAGTCACCCAGTGATAATGTGTAGTGTTTCTCATCTCAAAGTATTTTACCTTTTCCTTCCCCTCCTATTTAAGTATTTCTCAACCCTGATGGAGATGAGGCAAGGTGAAGTCTCCTGAGGAAATTAAAATAGTAACCAAAAAAATGATGTTCCCCCACCTCAAGATTGAAATGTAATTGTAATTTCACTCTCTCTCTGCCTCATTAGTTTTTGTTGTTGTAACAAATTGACACATTTTTTCTTTTTCATTGCTGAAGAGAGAGTGCAACCCCCAATGAGGCATGGTTAAATTGGAATACATTTCTCTCCATTTCTCCTTCTCTCAGGATTTGGGGCTTGCACGCTCATGAACCAGGTGTTTTTCAAGACACTGGAGCCAGGATTCAAACTGCAGTAAGCTGGCTTACTTATCCCCTAGACTATGGGCTGGCCCTGAATTAACACAATATTAATGCATAAAACAACACAAATTAATTATATTGGATTCTCGAGGGCAGAAATCTGAAATGAGTCTTGAGGAACTAAAATCGAAGTGTCAGCTGGGCTGTGTTCCTTCTGGAGGCTCCAGGAAGAATCTGTTTTCTTGCTTTTCCAGCTTCAGAGGCAGCTTTGACGTCCATCCTCAAAGTACATCACTCTGGGGACCAGCAGTTAGTGTAATGGCTGTGCTGCTAGACTCCCATGTAGTCCACCGTGGTTCAAGTCCCGGCTCCGGTGGCTTAAACTTATGCCAGGTGCGTGTGCGTACGTGCCCAAGATCTCGAGAAGAGAATGGAGGAGAAGGTATTGAGGCACGGCCATCCCTCTTAGGGGGTGATTTCTCACTTTCTGTCTCTCTGTCTCTGTCTGTCTTTCTGGCATGCGCACACGCCCTATAGCAATAAAACTCACACACAAAAAAAGTACACCACTCTGAATCATCTGAATCACCTTTTATTGACACTGACCTTCTTGCTTCCCTCTTATAAGGACTCTGATTGCATTGGGTTCACCTGGGGAATCCAGGATACTCCCTCCATCTCAAAGCCCTTAATTTAATCATATCTACAAAGGGTTGTTTTTTTTTTTTTTTTTGCCATGTCATATAACATATTCATAGATACTGGGACTTAGATTGTGGATCCACTTGGGAGAAATTATTCTGCATGTTCTCTCTCTCTTTCTGTCCCACAGTATTATTTTGTGAAAGTTTCCCTGGAATTACAATGTACTGCTATCTGACAATTGTTGCCTTAGTTGATATGGAGAATGTATACAGTTTTAATAGTTTTCTTATATATTGATGAAAGAGAACACACTACTAACAGCAACATTAAGAATAATGATAGTGAGGACCAGCAGGTGGCATGGTGGTTAAGGCACTGGACTCCCACATTGCTGACCATGGTTCAAGTCTTATACCTGGTGGCTTGCTTTCTCACTTTCCCTTTCTCTTCTTCTCTCTGGTCCAATTAAAAACAATAATAACAAATAAATAAATAAATAAATAATTCTTTGGAGGGGGAAGAATAATGATAGTAATAGCAAACACTTAGTGCTTCCAATGGGGGAGAACACGAAACATTTTTCATATATACTTGGTCCTCAGTATCCATGGGTTCTGCAACCAACCCAGATGGTTGCTGATGTGGACTGTGTAGGGCTATGATAGCTGCCTCTATGTTCTCATGTGTAAATAGAGAAAATATTAACACCATTGTATTGTGGAGATTCAGTGGGAAAATCCATGTCTACTGCTTAACATGGTCCGTTAGATTAAAATTACTAAATACATATTCATTTTTATTATTCATGGGTAAAACTGAGGCAAACTGACAAAAACTCCTTCAGCCTTCTCCCATGGCAACTACTGATTCATCTTTATCTGCACTTGTGTCTTTATTGCTTCCTGCTGCAATGGAAATATGATAGGTATCGCTTATATTTTCACTTTCTTTTTTTTACTGTCCTGATTCACTTCTCAAAGTATTTAAACATGTTTAAGCATCTCCTCTCTTGAAAATAGCCTCTTAGCATTCTATCTCTAATCCCTCAACTGTCACAGCCACATATATATTGTTTTTGAAAGAGAAATATAGACTAGATATCTCAACATCCCCAGAGCCATGAGAGTTGAGTGAAAACAGTTTCCTGTCAGTTTACTTGATCTCATTGCCAAATTCCACACTATTGATCACTTCTCCCTTGAAAATCTTTCTTAAACTTTTTGTTTCTGTGATGCCTAATTACATTCTGATTTTTCTTCTACCTTTCTCTCTCTCTCTCTCTCTCTCTCTCTAAGCCTCTTCTCTAAGCAGGTCTGGGACTTGAACCATGCAATTGGCCATGTGGGATCCAGCTGCCTTAACCTCTGTGACACCTTCTGGTCCAAGATGTTGTGATTTTGAATGGAAAGGCAAAATCAAAACCCACAATTTCTTCCTACCAAGTGGCCTTGTTCTTTCGGGAAAGTAGATTAAGCCTTTACATGACAACACTTTTGTTTTATTGCTAAAAGCTTATAACCCTTTACCAAAGAGGCCCAGGGTAGTTTTCGTTCATATGCTTTCTTCTTGCTCATTTAAAATCTCATTTATTATTGATCAAATTTAGATGCTTTTATTTTTTACATAGTACCCAGTGGTAAAACTGATCATTTGGTCAAAATACAAAAATCACTTAATAAAAGAATTAATAAAAATGAACTGCATAAAATTCAGATAACCATTTAAGTTCTACTTATCTAGAATCGTTTCTAAACTTAATATAAATATTTTCTGACTTTATCTAAGAAACTCTGAATTTTTCTCCCAGATGACATTTTCCTGAATGAAAAAGACAGCTAGAGACCCAACTGGCTCATTTTTAAAAAATAATTTTCTTTACACAATACATAGCCTGACACACAAGTAATTTGCCTCTTACTACATACACTGTAATCCTAACTCTGGTTATGGATTAGAGTGAACAGTGAAGAGAGGTGGAAAGCTAACCATGATAACCATATTATTTTAGACCTGCTTATGCTATTGATTTAATTCGTTTCTTAATGTGTCATTTTGCTAACAGTAAACAACAAACATGGCTTATTCACTAAGTGGATTTTGACATATAAAAGAAGCCGGCAAACTGGCTGCTTGCTGCCTGTTTGTTCAGAGCTGAGGTCTCCAGAGCTCTCAAGCAATCTTGTTCATCAGTAGGATGCGGGAGCACACAGGGACGGCTGTCTGTGTCTGGTGGACTCTCCCTTTCATCCTGAGATGAGGACCAGGATATCATCCATATCTGGCCATTTTATGTGCAGCAGCCACTTCTGATTTTCCTCTTTACTTTGGTATGGCTGGGAAGAAGGAAGAAGCCAGGTTTATTTGTGGCACTAAATTTCTTTTCAGACTTTTCCTCCGGGTTTGCTGTGAAATAAAGAGCACATCAGTTAGTAAATGGCATTATATGACTAACTCAATCTTCCAGGGTCAAGTTGTACCACCAATTTATACAGAGATTTTAATCCTCTTAGAGCAAAAGTATAGCTGTTTACTAACCAGCTAAAATTGCTGTAGTCTTAGACTCTAATATGTTCTCCTGATTCTCCACAGACAAGGAAGGAGGCTTAGTTCCTTAGATCAACCTGCCAAACTCCAGCTAGGGCGACTTTCCAAGTTGCACAGTCTATTTGTGTTTAATTTTCTATTCTTCTTCTACTTTTTCTTTTTTAAAAATGCATTTCATTGTTTTATTCAGCAAATATTTTTTGAGAGTCTCTTATATGCTAGTGTGTTCAAGACCCTAGAGTTACAGCCAAGAATAAGTTAGTCCCAGGCTTGGATCTTACACTCTACTGGAATAGAAACAATAAAAGTAAATTGTTTTTAAGAAAAAATATGTATTTTTAAAAGTGCTTTTAAAAATAAAAAGAATTCTTGGGACCAGCAGTTAGCATAATGGCTATGTCACTGGCCTCCTATTTAGTCGACTGTGGTTCGAGTCCCGGACCCAGTGGCTTAAAACTCACGCCGGGCACGTGTGCATGTGTGCCTAAGATCCCAAGAGGAGAATGGAGGAGAAGGGATGGCGGTGTGGCCATCCCCCCTGGGGGGTGATTTCTCACTTTCTGTCTCTCTGTCTCTGTCTGGCGAGTGCACATGCCCTATAGCAAAAACCTCTCCAAATAAATAAATAGAATTCTTATATGATGCAGCATCAGGTAGTGAATAGAGTTGTGAAAAAAATAAAATAAAATAAAGCCTGGCAAGGAGGCAGAGAATGGTGAGAAGGGAGGGGCTCTGCAGTGTTCATTATTTGAAAACTCCCATGGATTATTCTGACCAGAACTAACCCAGAGGCTCACGTTATCTCTGAATTACATTCCATTGTTTTTAAGTGTCCAACTCTGAGTTCGTTGGGTTTAAATCTCAGCTTTATTACTTGCTTCTTTTGTAATTTTAGATGACTTACTTATCCTCTATTTTGTGTTGTTGTTTATTTACTTATTTTTTATACATTCAACCACTATCACTACAGCTTGTAAAGTGAATTCTCCCAGTATGAACACACTGTATATTAGTCCAGTTAAAGGTATTTAGCCTCTGTTTCAGTTTTCGAAATTGTAAAATGAGGATGGTAACTGTAACTACCTCAAAGTGTCACAAAGATAAGTCAAAGAGTCCAAAAGTATTGTACTGATTATTGGTGCACTGATTTAAAAATAATGTTAGCCATTATCATTAGCAATATTACTGAGTTATAGTTTATATACTCTTTTCAGCTAAAATGGAAGGATGAAAATTTCTGTCATTAAAAATTCTTTGAAAAAATTATGGCATATGCTGTCATATACATATACCCTCTTTCTCTTAACTCTTGGGTCATTGGAAAAGTCGTGACACATTTTTGCATAGAAAAACACGTCATGGACTGAGCAAGATGGCAGCCTCTGAGATGGTTAGGCTACAGCTTCAAGTTGATTCCCCATCGCCAGCCCTCACTCTACTGCCTTCTGGCTTCTGGTGAATTCAAACAGATGCTGAGTCATCAAGGATTTCAGCAGTCTCATCCGTGTCAGCTTCACTTCTGGGGCCCTTCTAGGCCTCTACCTGGTGGGAGGGAGGGGACAGAGAAGGACTCCTGCCTCCCCCTGAGAGTGCAGACCTGGGGAGGAACCACTGCCTCAGAGTTAAACTACAAGAGAGAGAAATTGCTGAGAATTCTGTAGTAGTCAGTAATGGTGATGGTACTCATTTATCACCTAGGAAAGCCAAGAAGCGGACATTTAAATTGGAGGAGGCTGCAGAAACTGAACTGGATTACAAATATTCAAAGGAACATTGGAAGCAGCAACAGAATAATAGGAATCATGAGAAGGCCTTAGATCTCAAACCAAAACCAGATCAGAGTGGGAGGAAAAAAAAATTAAAAAAAAAAAGGAAAGAAACGTGGCATAGTAAGTGATGATGATGAAGAGACCAAAAGAAAATCACCAAAGAGAAAAGAGAAATTCAAATATAAGAAATAGACCAAAAATTCCCAATCTCCTAAAGCGCAGGCTGTGAAAGGGTGGACCTCACAGAGCTGTAGTCCTCCAAAAGGGTCTGCTAAAAACAGTGTCATTGAAACCAGAAGGAAAGGCGGCAGAGGCATTTGTTCAAAAGAGAACCCCAATTCCTCCCCGGCCTCTGACTCTTTCATGAATCAGTCAGTGATGGGACCAGAAATGTCACTCTGGGGTCCAAAGTGCCTCAGAGAAACTATCGACCAAGTTATCAAAAGAAGGAATCTCTACAAAAAAACACAGCTGCAAACGAACCAGCTATAAAAACTGGCTTTAACCCTACCCCCAACAAAGGCAAGACTACCCAAACATCATCTTCCAGTTCTGACAAAGAGTTCAGAGTCAGATGACCAGTGCACGATGTTAAAGAGCACCCTGGAATGCCCTGCAGGTTTCCTAAAGACAATAGGCCTCTCTGTAGGAAGAGGCTGGCTTGGATCAGAGCTGTTATCACAGATTCCAACTGCTGTGGGATGGAACCTTTCTGATACAAATGGTGGCAGACAGCCTCCTGGACCTCCTCCTAATATGTCTGTTCCCCTGGTCCAGGTTTGTGGGGGGGAGGTCAAGAGGTCCAGGCTTGTGGGGGAGAGGTCCAGGATGAGGGAATGCTGTTTCCTGTGTCTTAAGTAGAAACACTGACTATCAGAAGCAGCAGCAATGAAATGAAATAGTAACAAACTCATCTACTATTATAGAGAATCCAGTGAGACTCTCAAGAAAGGTTCCAGTCTGTTACCGCTCTTAGCAGCTGCTACTCAAGTTGGAGAAAAGATTGCATTTAAACTTTTGGAACTAACATCCAATTACTCTCCTGATGTCTCAGACTACAAGGAAGGAAAAGTATTAAGCCACAATCCAGACACCCAGCAAGTAAAAATAGAAATTCTTTCACCCTTACCTGCCTCAAAAGAACCTGGGAGATTTGATTTGGTTTATCATCACAAAAATGGAACTGAGGTAGTAGAGTATGTTGTGACACAGAAGAATAGGATCACTGATTTTTGGAGAGAGTTGATTGATCCAAGACTGATTTGCTGAATCTCTGAATAACACATCATGTACAGAACATGCCTGAGTATGACCTTGCCGCCGCAGAGTTTATGAATAAGTCTTGTTTGTGAAAGTGACTATTAACTAACATTTTTTTTAAAAAAAGAGGGTTTGAAAGTTGTATCAATTTTTTATTATCTTCACATTAACTGCATAGGAAAAAATCTACCTCATCATTTAAAATAACATGAGAGTTGGTTTTTATAGACCTTTTTCAGGTTTAATTTTTGTTAACAAAATTTTAAACATGACACTCCTTACAGGCATTGTTAATATTCCAATATGTATAGTTTCTTCTCTTTTTTTTTTTAATTCTTTCAATCATCAAGTAGCCATTATGTCAGTAGGAATTCATAATACCAAGTACAAGACTGTGCTGCTCAGTAAGTTTTACTAAGTAACATTTTAAAACATTGAAGGATGTTACTTGACCTAATGTTTTTTAATATTGAGTTGTTTCATTAAATGTGAAACATCTTATAAATTTCAGATATCTCATACTTGTAGTCATCAAGAGTTAACAGGTTTGTTGCAGGCATTGAGTTAAGGAATTCTTTCACATTTTCCTCATGTTTCAAATTAAGGATTCTCAGGTCCCTGTGTAGAGCAGTGAACATAAGAGCTGGTGTGTGTGCCTGGAGAGCTCCTATTCCAGAGACCTGTTATCTTGTACAAGACGCTGAGCACCTGATTGAGTGTGCTGGAGTGAGGATCTTGAACGGAAGCTTCTTTTTCTGTCATTATTGAATGCAAAACTAAAATGGCAAAATATATACTGTGAAAATTGCTTTCTTTTAAAAAAAAGATCAGATCCCTCCTTCAGCTTTGCAAATTTTTAAATAAAATCTTATCGAACTAAAACAAAAACAAACACATTGTGACTTTTCCAACTCAGTATTTTTCTGATTGGGTATGTTTCCACACTTTTTTTTTTTTTTTTTTTTGCCATAAGGTGTGTGAGGGAAATGAGAAGTCACTCCCCAGGGGTATGGCTTCACTACAGTTCCTTCTCCTCCATTCTCCTGGGATTTGGGGCATGCACACACACACACATGCCCTGGTATGATTTTCAGTCCATCAGGTCTTAGACTCAAACTGCAGTCTGCCATGTGGAAGTCTAGCAGCTTAATAATTTTTTTGGCTAAACCAGAAGGGACTTTTTAATGATGGTTTTATGATCCTTTTTCTGCAAGTAAGTGGAGCTATCTACATTTTTTACTTTCTTATGTGGTCAGTGACCTATCAAAATGTTTAAGAGAAAGTGAAGTGTCTACTAGGACATCAGAAATATTGAAAATTCCATTGTGTTTGGGCAGATAATTGATTACTCTTTGTGATATCTGATAAAATTAATGCAGAAGAGTCAATTTATGGTTATCTGAGTACACAATAGCCATTATGTATATTAACTATGATTAGTTAAGTTTTAATTCTGTATTGTCTTCTCTCTGGCACATAAGACATATTTGGCCATGTTCATTCTGTCAATTAGTGTTTATACATAGAGAATGTAAAATCTATTTAATATCAGATGAGGCAAAGTTTTAAGTAATAATGCAAATGTGGGCATAAAAGATAGGAATTATAGAACCCAGTGCAAATATTTTTTGGATACCCTTTTAGTTTTAGGTTATTTATACTACTATGTTTCACCCATTACTTAAAACAGTTAAAAGTAAATTATTAGGTTGTCAGGAACATCATGATATATTTTTCTGTTTTTTCTATGCAGAAATGCGTCATGGCTTTCTCAATGACCCAGTATATTATTTTTATAGAAAACTCTTGTGTTGCCAAAACTCCTTTTTT